ATATATATATATATATATATATACAAGGTCCAAATCTAGCTAAGGTGTCATAGTGAACAATATACATCCAGCATAGCTATACTAAGTAGCTAAATACAACAAAATAATCAAACGCCATCTGCCAGCTGCAGACCCTCCTCAACACACCAACCTAACCCTGCTCTGCTCCCATATATAGTATGATCATCGCAGTCCAAACCACATGGAAATAACAAAGAGTAAGCTAGTGAAAAGAATCAACATACCAATATATCAATACATGAATGGTAAACAACTACAGCTATCAGCATATCAACCATCTTAACAACACTAGCTTATAATATATCACATCATTCAGCAATAACAGCAGTAAATAGCAGTAAACACACAATGCATCGTCACACATATCAGTTAGTATTGGTCGCTTGTAATCGGTATAGCTTGACCTGGCCCCTATACCGTGGTCGCTTTGTACACGTGTGCCTCGACCTTGCCCACACACGGGACCACTCAGAACCTAGAGGAGAACAGCAAGTTACCACTCCAAGGGTAAGCTTTCCAGGGAGGGTTTTCAACAAAATTGGGCTCTAAGAGCACCACAGCCGCTGCATCCACACAATGGGATGAGGAAAATTTCAAAAATATCTCCTCTAGACTTAGTGATCAACAGCTCAGCCTTACGGCTTACAACAGCTCCTATCAGCATGGAGCACAACACTACATAACAGCAATAACAGCATACAACTCAGCATTATACAGCACAACCAAATAACTCACAGCCCAGCTTACACAGCTCACAGCACAACAATATTCATCATTTACAGCTCAGCTCAACATATAACAACATTTATCAGCAATTTTAGCATAATTCAACACATAGCAGCTCAACATCAAATGTCATCTCTGCGCCCGACGCGCTCAAGGTCGCGGCCCGCGTGGCACAACCAAAGAGCTTCAGGGCTCAACACGCCCGGCGCAATTCCCATTGCGCCCAGCGTGCTAGGAGGTAAAGACCCTCAAAGGTCTCACACGCCCGGTGTGGCAAACCCGCGCTCGGTGCAGGGTAAGCAGAGACTTCCCCAAAGTCTCACGCCGGGCGCAATATTTGCGCCCGGTGCCACCTTTGGCAGAGACTTCCAAGGAGTCTCCACGCCCGACGAGACAAGGTCACGCCCGGCGCCACACCAGAAACCCCCAAAAGCATGTCACATACTGATATCACGCCCAACCACGCTCGGCGTGGGCCAACTGGAGGCTCACATTCTCAAGCTCGTCCGGCGCACACATCTTTGCTACCGGCGGGCTTGCCCAAATGGAGCCCCCTGGTGGTCACGCGCCTGGCGCGAAGAACTACGCCCGGCGTGATACCCAGCAGCAACCCTCAAACTTTCGAAAATCTCTTCAAAACCTGCAAAACCAACCAGGAAATCCACATGCAAACCATCCAAAAGTCCACATTTACATCTAAGAGTTCAAAAACATAATAATTTTCAACATGCAACCATCAAATGAGAAAAACCCAAATTTCACCCGAAAACCCGAAAACTAATTTTTCTTCAATTTCAGCCAAAGATCATCCATCAACAAGCAGCCAATGAGTTTCTAAGACTCATTCTCAACCAAAAACAGCAAAACCTAGCTTCCCTTACCTCGGTGAAGAAATTCGAGCTCCGGGAAGAGGATGAACGAGAAGAAGAAGAGAATTTCGCACGCGGCTAGCTCCGAACGGCTTCAAGATTGTGAGAAAGGACCTCTAAGATTACTCACGGCTTCAGCTAGAGAGAGAAATTGGCAACAAGGTTAAAGGCTTGAGAGAATTCCACTAGCAAAGAGAGTGAATGAGAGAGTTTTGAGTGAGTGAGAGTTGAGAAAAGAGAGG